CACGGAAACAAACAGAACCGCTTGTAAAAGTTCAGGCAAACAGAGACGTGGTACAGGGCTGAACCTCAAGGCCCACTTTCAAAACACCAACTACCTAACTGACAAAATAACTAAATGAATAAAGGCAGTTAGAGAAACAGAAGGTAACTCAGCTTCACAGCGAAACCAGACCTTTCCGTAAGACAAATCAAACACTGTCTGCTGAGGTTTCTACCCAAATGCTAAAGAACACATGTTCTTCTCAGCAAGACCCAGGAATTCCTCCCAAGGGACCTGCAGAGCAGCCCCTTCTGGTCCTTTCCACAAGCACACAGTGTCTTGGGCGTCCCGGAGCACTGCTCCTAGATATCAAGCACACAAATAGCACAGAGAGCTTTATAAACATCGGGACATAGAGTCACACGGCCCTGAACACACAATGGTGACACAAGTGGTCAAGCAAAGAAGGAAACATTTCCTGGAAGCAAATGGGAGGGCAGGTCCCGGTTGCCAGCGCCTATGGGACACAATGAAACCAGTCCCAGGAGGGACACGGGAGGACCACGTCTCGATCTGGTATCACTCATCCTTCACAACTCAACTGCCAACAACCCAGCAAGTGGAAAACACTGTTTTGTCCCTCAAATTGGGAATGAGAACATTTCTCTTATCTATATTGCTGTTCAATATAGTACTTAAAAATTCAGCCAGAACAAGCACCCAAGGAGAAAAAGGAAAACGATATTAAAATAGGATAAGAAGAGGTCAAAGTTTACTTACTTGATGACAGGATGCTCTCCAGAGCAGACACACAAGCACCACCAAAAGACGCCTACAATAAATACTCAACCTGACAGAATGCGTAATACACGAGCACGACTCCTCCAGCCCAGTAATGAACCTGCTGAAAAACCTGAAACGGAAGAGACTCTGTACACAGCAGCATCGAGAATGACTGCTGGACGGGCAGGGACACTTATGGTCACAGTGGCCGTGATTCCAAGGGGGATCCACACAGCCGACGTAACCGCAATCCAGCTACCAACACGCGGTCTTCACAGCATGGAGAACACAGCCCTGCAAAGCACCAGGGTCCATGAGAGACCGAGAATACCCAAAGCCCTCCAGGGCATGAAGAGCAGAGGACAGGTGTCCAAGACCTGGGCTTCAAGTGTATTGCAAAGATGCGGGGCGCCACACACAAAGCAGAGCAAAATAAAGGAAGCCAGAACTATAGGAAACAAAATGAAACACCGAAAGGAAACAGCATGTTTTGCACCAGCATTTCAAAAGACATGAGAATGCACAGCACTGAAGACAGGATGCAAAACCACTGCTGGCACAGAGAGCCAGCAGATCTGTGTCTGCCTGCTGGGCAGCACCACTGGAAGGCCCTTTCCTTAGGAATGCCAGTGGGGACAGACAGAGCCAGACAGATCCACCTCTGGCTGCAGGGAGCAGCCATCAGAAGGCTCCTTCTTGTACATAGCCTGCAGGAACAGGGAAAAACAGCCAGATAAGCCCTGTGCACCTGTAGGCCCCCACTGCAGGCCCTTGGTTCCTTCTGGAAGTCATCACTCAATAGTGGAATCAGACAAACACAGCCCTGTGTGTCTGCCACCATCACGGCAGTCCCAGTGTAGACACAGGCTGAGAGAAGCAGCCCCACCCCCATGCAGAGAATCCCCACTGTAGCTGTACATCTGAGGAGATGCCCCCCTGCTACCTCCCTGTAAATCTGGGGTCAGAGGACCTGGGTGCCTGTCCCATGCCCCCTGCACCATGGAAGGGTACGCAACGTGGGAAGTACCTGGGAACCTACAGGAAGCCAAGAGAATATCAAGATGATGGAGGAAAAGGCATCCTCAGACCTCTACCCCACACAGAACAACTCTGCAAGATACAGTCATGGAATCAAATGCAAGTCGCGCACCTCTAATCTCTTGAGAGTGTAGCAACAGAAATAAAGAAACAACTTCATGAGATTGCAAAAGCAGTCAAATCAGATATAACGTCTCAGGTCACAGAAGAAATCACAAACACACTGGAAGGATTGTTCAGCAGATCTAAAGAAGACAGACAAAAAAGAGGAGCACAGGAAAATGACAGAAACTTTGAAAGGATATAGAAAGGAATTACATTGAATGAAGCAGGTGCTGAGAGATCCGGAAAATTAAACATTAACTTGAAAGTTCGTGAAACAGCTTGAGAGAGACTGAAGATAGACTTTCAAGCATGGAAGACAGGATTGCAGCTTGTGACCGAGAAACAAAAGGTCTCTTAAAAACACCATGGAATCCGGAAACAACAACTCATCGGCTGCAAGATGATGCAAAGAAGCATAATTGAAGAGTGATCAGTGTCGCTGAAGAAGCAGGGGTCAACACAAATGAAATTCAAAGGACATTCACAGAAGTAGGAGAACGCAACTTCCCGAACATGGGAAATGGATCTGGCATGCGGGTAAGCGAAGCATTATAGGACTCCAACTACCGTAACCAAAGTCAGTGTACACCCAGACATGGAATAATCAAGATCCCAGAAATTCAGCACAAGAACAGAATATTAAAAGCTGTTAGAGAAAAGAAACAGAGCACTTATAACAGAAAACGAATCAAAATCAATGCAGACTTATCAACACAAACCATCCAGTCAAGAAGACTTTGGAGGGAAGTGTTTCAAACCCTGAAAGAAAACAACGTGCAAACCAGAGTTGACTACCCTACAAACTATAGTTTGAAATTGATGGAAAAATAAGATACGACCATGATAAGGAACAACTGAAGGAATTTGTGACTACAACCAATCTTACAGAGAGTTCAAAGGCATATTCTACAGAGAGATAGAGATGACCATGGTTCCAGGAACAGCAGCAGAGGAGGATCGCCAAACAGGACAGGCAATGGAATGAAGGGAAGTGTGGAGGGCCAACAGCAGGAGGACAGCAGGGCAGAGACAAACCAATGTGTGCTGCTTTGAACCAGTAGTGTAGATCGGCTCAGGTCAGCAACAAAAAGAAACATAGGGACAGTGGGTCAAGAAACAAGATCCATCGACACACTGTATACAAGAAACACATCTGACTGGAAAAGAAATTCATGGACTGAACAGCAAAGGAGAGAAAACAAGTGTCCCCTGCGACAGAAAACCAGAAAACAAAGCAAGGGTAAGTTGCCCATCAACCGCACAATGGACAAGGAACATATGGTATTTTCCTGCACTGGAGAGCTACCCAACTGCAGGTAGAATAATTTCAGGGCTGCTGTAGGTAAATGGACGGAACTGGAGATCATGTTCATGGGTGAAACCGTGCGACTTATACACGTGACCCCAGTATCAGGAACAGAAGGAGTTCATGGGACCCAAAAGCAAGAGTTACTGTAAGAGTGACGGGGGAGGAAACACCTGGGAGGGAAAGGCAGTAACTACTGTTAAATTCTTATTGCTTTGAACTCTTGGGTTTTTTTAAACAATTTTGTTAGGTTAGGCTTTGTTCTGTCTTGTGTTGTTCTATTTTACCCACATGACGAGAGGGGCAGCTATTTTGAATATAATGGGATCTGTGATGATGACCCAGGATTCCTAACGTATTTCTTTGAAGCCTTATAATGCTCTCATTCATTGATATAATCGGTTTTATTGATTTCTTTCATTCTATTGTGTGTGGTGGTATGAACATGTATTCTGAAACAAATGAGACATTACGGTAGCCAATGCTGACTTTCTATCACCTTGTTTTGAGGTCCTATGAGGCTTCTGTTCATCGGATTTGATTAGTTCTATCCTGTTGTGTTTAATTTGGGTTCATTATGTTGGGGGTATAGACAGCTTTTCTGAGGACAATGAGATAGGAAAGTCTTGCTTGGACAAAGGAGTCAGGCGTAGACAACGCAAAGAGCTTTAACAAAGTCAGACTCGCCGCCTCCAAAACAAACAGCACAGCAGGGAGACCCTGGGCAACTAACATGAATAGACACTTCTTGGAGAAGATCTCGGGACCCAAAGCACAGACAAAACCATCCACAGCACAGGCCACCAGAGATCTACAATCTGACAGCACCTGGATTGCACGCCATCCCATCATGAAGACATCAAGAAACAGAGAGCGCTGGAGAGGCTGTGGGTTGGCGGGCTGGGGAAGGGAGACTCGTGTGCCTTAGATTTCAACATCAACTACTTAACCAGCGTAGAAATCTGTACACACTTTCCTCAAAACTCTAAGAGGAGAAATTCGATGCATTCCAGCGATTCCAGCTCTGCATATCTTCCCCAAGTACCCACAGGGGTGAGGTTACAGGGATCCAAGTGGGGCCAGGCTTAGGACCACACCATGCATAATAGCTCCACCTTGGAAGCAGCCTACAGGCCATGACAGACCAATGGGTCCAGGCAACGAACGTGCGGGTTGCTAGGGGTCACCAACTTGTGCTGGAGGTGCAAGACAAAACAGCACCTCAGGAAACCTCGGCCCTGGGCAGGCTGGCCAGCTTTCCCGACACACTCGACACCCCACCGGGCTGGCTCCTGCCACCTCCCGGAGTTCGTGTGCTCTGCCCTGGACACACACTTCCAGTCCAAGAGTCGACCAGCAGGGCCACCTTGCCCCTGACTCTCTTGCTTTCCCAGGTGCTTTTGTCCCTCAACACCGGGCCCTCCTGCATGAGCACGGGCTCTCCTGTACACACAACCCTGCCCTTCGCACAACATCCCAGCCTGTCCTGCCTGGCTCACTCTCAACTCTGCACACACGGCCAGGGTGACCCCGTACAACCTTTCCTGCTTGCAGCTTAGAACTTGTGTGATTTCTGCAGGAGGCTAGAGCACAGGCTCAGCCACTCCCAGAAAGCTGTATCCTGAGCAGCAACAGCAGTGTGCCCATGTGCGTGTCTTGGTGCTCAGCGGGCTTGGGCCTAAAGTTTCGTGTGAGGGGAGAGTGGAATCTGGGCTGGAACCATGGCACCCAGCGCACAGAGAGAGCCAGGACCCATGGGTATCGAAAGCAAGGCAGAAACACAGAGACGGGCACTGGCAAAGTGGATTTATTTGGCTCCCATGGGGCAGTGGTTGGATACTCAGGAGAGGAGCATCCTTTGCGTTGGGAGAGGGAAAGGGAGGCTCTGGAGCCCCTTGCTGGGTTCTAGCTCAGAGTCCAGCAGCTCAGTCCAGTAGGATTCCTGTCTGCCACAATGCGGGACCACATGGGCCCGGGAGGTACATAGTGGCGGTCCCCTGTCCCATGTGCCGGAGAGTGGACACGGAGATGGGAGTTCAGCAGCCGCAGCAGGAGGAGGTCAGCAGCAGCAGGAGGAGGAGGTGCCACAGCAGACAGGGTTGCAGAGGAGGGTGGGGCAGGAGGGCTGGCAGCACCCCGAGGACTGGCAGGAGGGCCCACAGCTCACGGGGAAGCACACGGAGCTCTGGCAGCATGGCTCGCAGCACCCCGAGGACTGGCAGGAGGGCACCACGCACACGGCTGGCCTGCAGCATACGGGCACACACACGGAGGCCTGGCACGACGGCTGGCAGCACCCCGAGGACTGGCATGATGGGGTCAGGCACAGGACAGGCTTGCAGCTCACGGGCACGCAGCAGGCAGCCTGGCAGGGGCTGGACCCGCAGCAGGCCGGCTGGCAGCACGGGGAACAGCTGGTGTGGCACATGGCGGACGAGGGAGAGGAGGTGGCTGTGGCTGGCAGGAGGTGCTGGTGAGGTCTGGGCCTCCACCCCGAGCTGCATTTATACCCGGTTCCCGGCAGGCCCGCCACATGCACGGCTCTGCTGTCTTCCTGCTCTGACTTCCTACTTTCCCACTCTGCTTGTTCCTTTGTTCCTGGAGCCTCAGCTTCTCCCCTAATTACACCCTCTCTGGGCTGCAGGGACACAACAATCCCGCCCAGCACTGCACAGCCTCCACCTGGATGCTGGCTGCCTCCCTCCCCTTCCCCTGTCACTTCTGCCAGATCCCCCACCCCAAGATGCTGCTGTGAGCTCTCCCTCCAGGTGGGACGATGCCTTTGCAAATGCCACCCAGCTGACCCTTGTCCCGGGAGGCTGTGCGGGTCCAGAGAAGATGGGAGGCTAGACACGCCCTTCGCACCAACCAGATATGGTGAGAGCTCGGCGCAGTCACGCGGGAGGGAGGGCTGGACAACTGTCTGTCTCGTGTCTTTTCCATCCCATTGATTTTTTTTTGTTTTTCATTTATTTTTCCCTCCTTCTTACTGTCTTGCTCTCTTTTTGCTGTTTGATGTTTGTTTTGCCTAAGGAAGAGGGATAAAGCCTGAGCCCCAAAGAGAAACACACGCTAAGAAACTCTGCAAAGCTGTTTGTGGAAATGGCACCAAAAGGAAGCTTTTTCCTTGACACACTGCACCTTAGGGTGTCTGTGACCAAACCACACTCCAGAAACACTCAGGGACGTCCTAGACAGAGACAGCCAGCCAAGGGAGCCCACAGACGAATGGAGTGACGAGGCTGAACCAGGTGAGTGGTGACAAACTACCGCGGAAATGGAGGCAACAGGGAAGTCAGGAACCAGAGGACCCGTGTCAGCGAGGACTGCGCACGGGGGTCAGCCCACGTCCTCCGGAGCCTCTTCTCAGGTCAGACTGCAGCTGCGGTGCTTTCAACAGACTCACTGTGTGCAAAAGAAATTCATGGACTATAAATCAAGGGGAAAATGAGCATGACATGCACCGGTCACCCAAAATCAACAAGGGAGAACCATCTCGTTCTCAAAGAATCCTTCAAGGCACAAAGGAAGCAGAACAGGGAAAGAAAGGCTCTCTAGACACGTGAAGGAGCCGCTGCACAGGAAGAAGGCAGGAGGTGGTGACGTCATGAAAATGAGCAGGCACCAAACCTCACTGCAGCACCACGGAAACAAACAGAACCGCTTGTAAAAGTTCAGGCAAACAGAGACGTGGTACAGGGCTGAACCTCAAGGCCCACTTTCAAAACACCAACTACCTAACTGACAAAATAACTAAATGAATAAAGGCAGTTAGAGAAACAGAAGGTAACTCAGCTTCACAGCGAAACCAGACCTTTCCGTAAGACAAATCAAACACTGTCTGCTGAGGTTTCTACCCAAATGCTAAAGAACACGTGTTCTTCTCAGCAAGACCCAGGAATTCCTCCCAAGGGACCTGCAGAGCAGCCCCTTCTGGTCCTTTCCACAAGCACACAGTGTCTTGGGCGTCCCGGAGCACTGCTCCTAGATATCAAGCACACAAATAGCACAGAGAGCTTTATAAACATCGGGACATAGAGTCACACGGCCCTGAACACACAATGGTGACACAAGTGGTCAAGCAAAGAAGGAAACATTTCCTGGAAGCAAATGGGAGGGCAGGTCCCGGTTGCCAGCGCCTATGGGACACAATGAAACCAGTCCCAGGAGGGACACGGGAGGACCACGTCTCGATCTGGTATCACTCATCCTTCACAACTCAACTGCCAACAACCCAGCAAGTGGAAAACACTGTTTTGTCCCTCAAATTGGGAATGAGAACATTTCTCTTATCTATATTGCTGTTCAATATAGTACTTAAAAATTCAGCCAGAACAAGCACCCAAGGAGAAAAAGGAAAACGATATTAAAATAGGATAAGAAGAGGTCAAAGTTTACTTACTTGATGACAGGATGCTCTCCAGAGCAGACACACAAGCACCACCAAAAGACGCCTACAATAAATACTCAACCTGACAGAATGCGTAATACACGAGCACGACTCCTCCAGCCCAGTAATGAACCTGCTGAAAAACCTGAAACGGAAGAGACTCTGTACACAGCAGCATCGAGAATGACTGCTGGACGGGCAGGGACACTTATGGTCACAGTGGCCGTGATTCCAAGGGGGATCCACACAGCCGACGTAACCGCAATCCAGCTACCAACACGCGGTCTTCACAGCATGGAGAACACAGCCCTGCAAAGCACCAGGGTCCATGAGAGACCGAGAATACCCAAAGCCCTCCAGGGCATGAAGAGCAGAGGACAGGTGTCCAAGACCTGGGCTTCAAGTGTATTGCAAAGATGCGGGGCGCCACACACAAAGCAGAGCAAAATAAAGGAAGCCAGAACTATAGGAAACAAAATGAAACACCGAAAGGAAACAGCATGTTTTGCACCAGCATTTCAAAAGACATGAGAATGCACAGCACTGAAGACAGGATGCAAAACCACTGCTGGCACAGAGAGCCAGCAGATCTGTGTCTGCCTGCTGGGCAGCACCACTGGAAGGCCCTTTCCTTAGGAATGCCAGTGGGGACAGACAGAGCCAGACAGATCCACCTCTGGCTGCAGGGAGCAGCCATCAGAAGGCTCCTTCTTGTACATAGCCTGCAGGAACAGGGAAAAACAGCCAGATAAGCCCTGTGCACCTGTAGGCCCCCACTGCAGGCCCTTGGTTCCTTCTGGAAGTCATCACTCAATAGTGGAATCAGACAAACACAGCCCTGTGTGTCTGCCACCATCACGGCAGTCCCAGTGTAGACACAGGCTGAGAGAAGCAGCCCCACCCCCATGCAGAGAATCCCCACTGTAGCTGTACATCTGAGGAGATGCCCCCCTGCTACCTCCCTGTAAATCTGGGGTCAGAGGACCTGGGTGCCTGTCCCATGCCCCCTGCACCATGGAAGGGTACGCAACGTGGGAAGTACCTGGGAACCTACAGGAAGCCAAGAGAATATCAAGATGATGGAGGAAAAGGCATCCTCAGACCTCTACCCCACACAGAACAACTCTGCAAGATACAGTCATGGAATCAAATGCAAGTCGCGCACCTCTAATCTCTTGAGAGTGTAGCAACAGAAATAAAGAAACAACTTCATGAGATTGCAAAAGCAGTCAAATCAGATATAACGTCTCAGGTCACAGAAGAAATCACAAACACACTGGAAGGATTGTTCAGCAGATCTAAAGAAGACAGACAAAAAAGAGGAGCACAGGAAAATGACAGAAACTTTGAAAGGATATAGAAAGGAATTACATTGAATGAAGCAGGTGCTGAGAGATCCGGAAAATTAAACATTAACTTGAAAGTTCGTGAAACAGCTTGAGAGAGACTGAAGATAGACTTTCAAGCATGGAAGACAGGATTGCAGCTTGTGACCGAGAAACAAAAGGTCTCTTAAAAACACCATGGAATCCGGAAACAACAACTCATCGGCTGCAAGATGATGCAAAGAAGCATAATTGAAGAGTGATCAGTGTCGCTGAAGAAGCAGGGGTCAACACAAATGAAATTCAAAGGACATTCACAGAAGTAGGAGAACGCAACTTCCCGAACATGGGAAATGGATCTGGCATGCGGGTAAGCGAAGCATTATAGGACTCCAACTACCGTAACCAAAGTCAGTGTACACCCAGACATGGAATAATCAAGATCCCAGAAATTCAGCACAAGAACAGAATATTAAAAGCTGTTAGAGAAAAGAAACAGAGCACTTATAACAGAAAACGAATCAAAATCAATGCAGACTTATCAACACAAACCATCCAGTCAAGAAGACTTTGGAGGGAAGTGTTTCAAACCCTGAAAGAAAACAACGTGCAAACCAGAGTTGACTACCCTACAAACTATAGTTTGAAATTGATGGAAAAATAAGATACGACCATGATAAGGAACAACTGAAGGAATTTGTGACTACAACCAATCTTACAGAGAGTTCAAAGGCATATTCTACAGAGAGATAGAGATGACCATGGTTCCAGGAACAGCAGCAGAGGAGGATCGCCAAACAGGACAGGCAATGGAATGAAGGGAAGTGTGGAGGGCCAACAGCAGGAGGACAGCAGGGCAGAGACAAACCAATGTGTGCTGCTTTGAACCAGTAGTGTAGATCGGCTCAGGTCAGCAACAAAAAGAAACATAGGGACAGTGGGTCAAGAAACAAGATCCATCGACACACTGTATACAAGAAACACATCTGACTGGAAAAGAAATTCATGGACTGAACAGCAAAGGAGAGAAAACAAGTGTCCCCTGCGACAGAAAACCAGAAAACAAAGCAAGGGTAAGTTGCCCATCAACCGCACAATGGACAAGGAACATATGGTATTTTCCTGCACTGGAGAGCTACCCAACTGCAGGTAGAATAATTTCAGGGCTGCTGTAGGTAAATGGACCGAACTGGAGATCATGTTCATGGGTGAAACCGTGCGACTTATACACGTGACCCCAGTATCAGGAACAGAAGGAGTTCATGGGACCCAAAAGCAAGAGTTACTGTAAGAGTGACGGGGGAGGAAACACCTGGGAGGGAAAGGCAGTAACTACTGTTAAATTCTTATTGCTTTGAACTCTTGGGTTTCTTTAAACAATTTTGTTAGGTTAGGCTTTGTTCTGTCTTGTGTTGTTCTATTTTACCCACATGACGAGAGGGGCAGCTATTTTGAATATAATGGGATCTGTGATGATGACCCAGGATTCCTAACGTATTTCTTTGAAGCCTTATAATGCTCTCATTCATTGATATAATCGGTTTTATTGATTTCTTTCATTCTATTGTGTGTGGTGGTATGAACATGTATTCTGAAACAAATGAGACATTACGGTAGCCAATGCTGACTTTCTATCACCTTGTTTTGAGGTCCTATGAGGCTTCTGTTCATCGGATTTGATTAGTTCTATCCTGTTGTGTTTAATTTGGGTTCATTATGTTGGGGGTATAGACAGCTTTTCTGAGGACAATGAGATAGGAAAGTCTTGCTTGGACAAAGGAGTCAGGCGTAGACAACGCAAAGAGCTTTAACAAAGTCAGACTCGCCGCCTCCAAAACAAACAGCACAGCAGGGAGACCCTGGGCAACTAACATGAATAGACACTTCTTGGAGAAGATCTCGGGACCCAAAGCACAGACAAAACCATCCACAGCACAGGCCACCAGAGATCTACAATCTAACAGCACCTGGATTGCACGCCATCCCATCATGAAGACATCAAGAAACAGAGAGCGCTGGAGAGGCTGTGGGTTGGCGGGCTGGGGGAAGGGAGACTCGTGTGCCTTAGATTTCAACATCAACTACTTAACCAGCGTAGAAATCTGTACACACTTTCCTCAAAACTCTAAGAGGAGAAATTCGATGCATTCCAGCGATTCCAGCTCTGCATATCTTCCCCAAGTACCCACAGGGGTGAGGTTACAGGGATCCAAGTGGGGCCAGGCTTAGGACCACACCATGCATAATAGCTCCACCTTGGAAGCAGCCTACAGGCCATGACAGACCAATGGGTCCAGGCAACGAACGTGCGGGTTGCTAGGGGTCACCAACTTGTGCTGGAGGTGCAAGACAAAACAGCACCTCAGGAAACCTCGGCCCTGGGCAGGCTGGCCAGCTTTCCCGACACACTCGACACCCCACCGGGCTGGCTCCTGCCACCTCCCGGAGTTCGTGTGCTCTGCCCTGGACACACACTTCCAGTCCAAGAGTCGACCAGCAGGGCCACCTTGCCCCTGACTCTCTTGCTTTCCCAGGTGCTTTTGTCCCTCAACACCGGGCCCTCCTGCATGAGCACGGGCTCTCCTGTACACACAACCCTGCCCTTCGCACAACATCCCAGCCTGTCCTGCCTGGCTCACTCTCAACTCTGCACACACGGCCAGGGTGACCCCGTACAACCTTTCCTGCTTGCAGCTTAGAACTTGTGTGATTTCTGCAGGAGGCTAGAGCACAGGCTCAGCCACTCCCAGAAAGCTGTATCCTGAGCAGCAACAGCAGTGTGCCCATGTGCGTGTCTTGGTGCTCAGCGGGCTTGGGCCTAAAGTTTCGTGTGAGGGGAGAGTGGAATCTGGGCTGGAACCATGGCACCCAGCGCACAGAGAGAGCCAGGACCCACGGGTATCGAAAGCAAGGCAGAAACACAGAGACGGGCACTGGCAAAGTGGATTTATTTGGCTCCCATGGGGCAGTGGTCGGATACTAAGGAGAGGAGCATCCTTTGCGTTGGGAGAGGGAAAGGGAGGCTCTGGAGCCCCTTGCTGGGTTCTAGCTCAGAGTCCAGCAGCTCAGTCCAGTAGGATTCCTGTCTGCCACAATGCGGGACCACATGGGCCCGGGAGGTACATAGTGGCGGTCCCCTGTCCCATGTCCCGGAGAGTGGACACGGAGATGGGAGTTCAGCAGCCGCAGCAGGAGGAGGTCAGCAGCAGCAGGAGGAGGAGGTGCCACAGCAGACAGGGTTGCAGAGGAGGGTGGGGCAGGAGGGCTGGCAGCACCCCGAGGACTGGCAGGAGGGCCCACAGCTCACAGGGAAGCACACGGAGCTCTGGCAGCACGGCTGGCAGCACCCCGAGGACTGGCAGGAGGGCACCACGCACACGGCTGGCCTGCAGCATACGGGCACACACACGGAGGCCTGGCACGACGGCTGGCAGCACCCCGAGGACTGGCACGATGGGGTCAGGCACAGGACAGGCTTGCAGCTCACGGGCACGCAGCAGGCAGCCTGGCAGGGGCTGGACCCGCAGCAGGCCGGCTGGCAGCACGGGGAACAGCTGGTGTGGCACATGGCGGACGAGGGAGAGGAGGTGGCTGTGGCTGGCAGGAGGTGCTGGTGAGGTCTGGGCCTCCACCCCGAGCTGCATTTATACCCGGTTCCCGGCAGGCCCGCCACACGCACGGCTCTGCTGTCTTCCTGCTCTGACTTCCTACTTTCCCACTCTGCTTGTTCCTTTGTTCCTGGAGCCTCAGCTTCTCCCCTAATTGCACCCTCTCTGGGCTGCAGGGACACAACAATCCCGCCCAGCACTGCACAGCCTCCACCTGGATGCTGGCTGCCTCCCTCCCCTTCCCCTGTCACTTCTGCCAGATCCCCCACCCCAAGATGCTGCTGTGAGCTCTCCCTCCAGGTGGGATGATGCCTTTGCAAATGCCACCCAGCTGACCCATGTCCCGGGAGGCTGCGGGTCCAGAGAAGATGGGAGGCTGGACACAACCTGGGCGCCAACCAGATATGGTGAGAGCTCGGCGCAGTCATGCGGGAGGGAGGGCTGGACACTGTCTGTCTCGTGTCTTTTCCATCCCATTGTTTTTCTTTTGTTTTCGTTTATTTTTCCCTCCTTCTTACTGTCTTGCTCTCTTTTTGCTGTTTGCTGTTTGTTTTGCCTAAGGAAGAGGGATAAAGCCTGAGCCCCAAAGAGAAACACACGCTAAGAAACACTGCAAAGCTCTTTGTGGAAATGGCACCAAAAGGAAGCTTTTTCCTTGACACACTGCACCTTAGGGTGTCTGTGACCAAACCACACTCCAGAAACACTCAGGGACGTCCTAGACAGAGACAGCCAGCCAAGGGAGCCCACAGACGAATGGAGTGACGAGGCTGAACCAGGTGAGTGGTGACAAACTACCGCAGAAATGGAGGCAACAGGGAAGTCAGGAACCAGAGGACCCGTGTCAGCGAGGAATGTGCACGGTGGTCAGCCCACGTCCTCCGGAGCCTCTTCTCAGGTCAGATTCTATCTGCGGGGCTTTCAACAGACTCACTGTGTGCAAAAGAAATTCATGGACTAGAAATCAAGGGGAAAATGAGCATGACATGCACCGGTC